TTTTTTTTCCCCCACATTTTAACTACAAAATCGAGAGGAGAATACTGGACAATTTCGCCGAGTGCCTTTTCAGCGCGCGTAATTTTCCCCTGTGTGTGTGTCTGTCTAGCAGCAGGGCTATTTCTGCACCACGCCTATCGCAGTAGCGCATTTTTTCCCCTGCTTCACCATGTTTATCGGCAGGAGTGCACACGCGTTTCAGTGGGGAAGAGGCCACCTCAAGCGCTCGTGCATATGGAGACAACTCATGTGTAACCATTCCAGTAAAGAAAAGCTGAGTAGCAAAATATACACCCAGAAGAAGATCACAAAAAGGGAGAAACTGCTAGGTACAGTGAAACCGTTCATAGACGAAAGTTGCGACAGCGCAGAGCCGTATGTAATAGCGTACTATTTAAACAACCCAATAAATTTGGGAGCCCTGAAAAGTGCATACGAACAAGTGGGATCCCAAGTGCTGTACAAAGAACCCTATTTGTACGTGGAAAGTTGTGCATATTTTAACCAGCAGAATAGTTCCGCTGTATTTTTTAAAAATGGGTGCATCGTCATATGGAGTATGAATAAGCAAAACAGAAATAAATTTTTCCATTTGTGTAAAAAGTTTTTAAACCTAAGTGAAAGTAACATTCAAAATTATGATTTTGAAGAATTGCAAGTAGAAAATGTAAGTAACAAAAGTTACGTAAATAATTCTGTGATTTATTTGACTTCAAATAATTACAGGACGACAGACAAGATAGCCATTTCGTTTGGTCTTTTAAGTGCCGTCAGATTAAATAATTTGGAAAGGAAAATTGAAAAAAAATTATTTTATGAAAATGATCAGATTGAAAATTTAAAAAAAGAAATCAAGTCAAGTAACTTAGATTTTTTATCCAAGCAATTATTTGCCTCCAAAATTACTCTGCATAATTTACGTTATGAATTAAATATTGACCAGGACATATTGGACGTCCCAGAAGCGCTGTGGGAATTGGAGTATCAGAAAAAGCTGTTTCTAAACATCCTGCACATATTTGATATTAAGCAGAGGGTTGATTTACTCAATCATAGGCTGAGTTGGACTTTGGATTATTTGAATTCCTTTTTGGACTATGTTAATCAGAAGCACTCCTCTCGTCTGGAGCGCATTATCATCGTCATAATTGGCCTCGAGCTTGTGCTCGGAATTATGCAGATGGCTAACACGATTCGGTGGTAGGCGTTATGTTTTTGTACTCTTCCCGCGTGACCACCTTTGGAGGGGCACCATCCACTTAGCTACATGTGGAACAGTGCACAGTGACACATTTAGGGGGAAGCATGGGGTAAAAAAAAAGAAGTGACGCACAAATAGGAAAAGAAGGACAATACGTTATACTACCCATACAGAGAAAAATTGAAAAGTGCGTCCCCCTTAAGGTAGCTGCACGGTGGACGTGCCAATCGGTTGGCTTCCTTTTCACCACCACGAGGACGTTACAAATAGAAGATTAACTCGATGATCCGTCCCCTTTTTGTCACATCATGTTTGCCACGTTGTGTAAATTCACACACACCTACCCTTCTAACCCCTCATCTCCCTAATATAAATAAACACACACAAAAAAAATAAGAAAACTCATTGGTAATTTTCCCCTTTGGAGGAATTAAAATTATACTTTATGTCCCACGCAGGGAGGATGGTGTTAATGGAGCAGTCATCAGGCAAGTAGGGGGGAAATCCAGTTGGGTATCTGACGTTCCTTTCTACAATCCCCGCCGAGTTACTTTCCTTCTGTTGAGTTGCCACTTCGTCGTACAAGAAATCTACATTTTTCTTTTTATAAATATATTTTAGGACATACTCCTTTATGGCTAGGTTGATGCTTTCTTCGTCTATCACAAGCACTTCTTCCTGTGCGGTTGGAGCGGTGACGGGTTGGCTCTGTGTTTGCTGTGCTTGGTCTTTTGCACCTTTCTTTTCACCACTATTTTGTGGTGCGTCCGTTGGGGACTTTCCTTCAGACAGGCCGCTCCCTACTTGGTCCCTATTAGGGGCCATTCCTGCATCACCCCCTGTGCTAGTGTCATACGTCTCCTCCTTCACATTGTTCTTTTCATTATTTACAAAATGGCTACCATCACCTGATGGGTCTCCACTAGGATTTACATTATTTTCAATTTCGTTAGGGCGGCTGTTCCCTTCGGGGTGTTGCACTTGTTGTGTGCCTTCCCGCACCGCTGTCTCATCTGAGCTGTTTAATTTGGGTGCGCCTTCTATTGCGTCCCTATTTGTACTTTCCCCGTTGGCTGCTTTATCCGGCGCACTTTCCTCTTCCTTCTTCAAAGGTGTTCCTCCGTCATCCTCATTTGTTTTACTTTTTTTGCCAAAGTAGTTCGACCAGGATTTGAAGATGCTGAAGCTTTCGGTGCTTTGGTCTGCCTGCTCCGTTTGGCCTGTTTGTTCTGCTTGCCCCGTGTCCTCTGTTTGGCCCGTTTTGATGGTCTCGGCTTCCACCTCTTTCTTGCCCTCTCCATGTTCAAGATTTGCTTGGCTTTCTTCTTTACTCCCCTCTGCGGGTTCCCCTTTCATGCCGTCTCCTTGTGCGTCATTTGCCTTATTTTGCTTCTCGACCTCTCCGTCACGCTCATTGACCGGGGTGGTTGCCATTGGAGGTGACATGGCCAGTGTTGCATTAACACCAATAACTCCACCTTTAACATCAACCCCGCTTGCATCTTTGGAGATGTGCGTAGTTACTTTACTTTGGTCCGTTTTTTCCTGACCTTCAACCATACCCTTACTTGCATCCTCCTTTTTTGTTCCATCTCCATTGTTGGAGCTTCTTACCAAATCAGGACTGGTGTGATCCTCCTTTGTGTCCTCCTTCTTTGTGGGGTCGGCCTTAATGAAGAGTCTCCTATCGAGGCCATTTTTTTTTATATTTTTTGCATTCCTCAAAATTTTTATCGTTTCATTTTGTATTATATCAATTAAGAGGTGAGTAATTTTATAATCATATTTACTGACGTGGAAACTTTCAAGTAATTTTTCTATCTGTAGTTCCATGCCCGGAATTGCGTTGTAGTATTCGTGTAGGAGTTTCCCTTCATGGTCTTCGTCGTTATATGTTTGGGGGTTCCTTTTGCAAAGCGGACTTGCCTTCCTGATCTTCATTCTGCATACGGGAGCCAATACGTTGAAAATTGTGCAACAATTGGCTACACGTTTTGTAGGTGTATACTCGGATATACTAATTGGAAACCCAATTCTACTCTATTTTTATGCATCGTTTTCCCCTTGCATGGACGTGTAAATTGCGAAGTGACGGCATCCCTTTTTATATCAAGTCCATTAGCATCTCATGGGTCATGAGTTTTCTGGGGGAAAAAAAACAAAGGGACTTTTTCATTATCGCTATGTTTTCTGGCCAACCCCCCTGCAGCAAGCCAAGGTCAACTTGTCAATGGGCTGAAGAGGGTACTTTGCTTTTTTTTCCTTTTGCACGTTTTTAATGCGCAGTAGGGGGTTGGGAATATAAACAGGCTAATTTTTTATTTGTGCCCATGTGCTGTGGGGGGTAACGCGCACAAATTTCATATACATACATATATATATATATATATATATACAAAATGCATGCTCACATTTCGCTTCTTCGCACTGGGCAATGAAGTTAACTTTTGTGTGCTTGGAAACGCATTTTTTTTTTTATCGCTGCAACAGGTTTTTTTTTTTTTTTTTTTTTTTTAACCCTTTTGACGATTTTCAGGATTGTAGAGGGAGGAATTATGACACTTTAATAAATTTTGGAAAAAAAAAAAAAAAAAGAAAAAAAAAAATATGCAATATGCAGGTTGGCGAAGCGAGAGAACAAACGTACAAAAAGACGATTAGACTTTGAAAAGGGAAATGGAAAATGGTGTATTGTGGGGCACAGATCGGGCTACCAAAAGGGGGGGATATTATTTTTGCGGGACGGCGAAAAAGGGTGTTTTTTCATTTGTTTTGTTGTCTTAGCTTTCTCGTTCATTTTCTTTAATTCGTCCTTTTCTCTACGTTTCTTCGCGTCCACTACCGCTACCCCTTCATCTTTTTTGTATTTGGCCCTTTTTTCTCGATTGCTTCCATCCGAGGGGAATCCCCCCTCCACAGGAGTGTAACATATGTGTAGGCATATATATACATGCAAAGGTGCGCATGGCGCAGGGGAAAAAAACAAAATGTAAGTTTGAAGAAAGGGGACTAAAAAAAAAATGTGTTTGTCAAACTGATCCATTCTACGCAGTCACGTTAAGAGGTTATGTGGTTACGCGGTTATGCGCTTATGCGGCTAACGGGACGAAAAGAATGCTACACTGTGGCATGTCTGCACTCAGGACACGCGATTGTCTTGTTGGGAACAAGGGGAGGAGGGTTGAGGAGGCACTAAACACTTATGCGGCAGCCTGCACACATGCTAAGCGTTACTGCAATAGCCACCCCTACCGGCAATTCGGTTAAACTTAAATTATGTACAAAACAAAGGGGGTTATACGTGGCACGCTTTGTCCCCTCTAGCACTCACCCACACCCCGTAAAGGAATATCAATTTATCCGTGTGGCCATTTCGAGCTTTATCGGTTGCGTTGGGAGTAATTTCGTAGGTTACATTCCCCGGGGGGAGGGAAATAACAACAGCAGTTCTGTCGACATGGGGCCGCTCCACATCGTCCGTCCGCATAAGAGCACTCCATCACTTCGTTTTCCCTTTAGTGCTCTGGCCGCAGGAGACCTTTATGGGGGAGATGAGCAGGGCGTCCAGCTGCTTCAACTGAGGAAGGATGGAAATTATCTTTGTCCTGTAGTCTTCCTTGAGCGTGTCCTGTATTTCATTCTTTTCCAAATAAAGAGTTTTTAAATTTTTATTTTCACGCAAATTTATAACCATATCAATGCTGTTAATGTTATTGTTGTTTAACCACAGCTCTTCCAAAGACTTCAACTCTGAGCAGATTATAATATTTTGTATTTCGTTGTAGGACAGATCAAATACCTTCAGATGCTTCAACTCTTTTACATTTTCTATGATGGTACTTAACTTATTGTAGCTCACATAAAGCTCGGTGACTTGTGGGATATTTTTAATGGCCTCAACGGACCAGTTGGTTAATCGGTTGTGTTGTAGACTTAGCTTTTTTAATTTTGGAAATGGCGGGAGATTCATTTCTTCTATTTTGTTTTTTCCCAACCACAGCTGCTCCAAGTTTACCAGATTTTCCAAATTTTCAATTTTCCTGATTTTGTTGTATCCCAATTCTAGCAGTCTCAGCTTTTTGCAATTTTGGAGATTCTCGATCTGGGGGAGGATGGCGGCGGTGGGGGGGCAGGTGAAAAGGCAGACATGGTCGCGCGTGGTTATGTGCACGGTCACAATTGCGCCCTGTCAATATTGCCCCCTGTAAACATGTTGCCCTTTTTGTGCCGCTTCTCGGGGGCCGCAGACAGCCGGAAACTCTCTCCCTCAGAGGTCCCCACTCACCTTTGCGATTTTGTTGCTGGACAGGTACAGCTCCTCCAGGTTTACCAGCGTGTCGATGTTCTCAATGATCCGAATTTTGTTAAAGGAGAGGTCCAGTATTCTGCGGGGACAGGGGGGGAAAACACGGGGGGAGGGTTCCTTGAGTGAGTGTTTATTCATACATGCGTACATACATATATATGTATGTGTGTGTGCAGCCCTAGGTGGGTTGTGGCCGCAGAAAGGAGAAAAGTACAAAACTTCCACACGAAGATATTACTTCAAATTTGTGAGCATAAAAATGTTTTCTATTTTTTTAATCGAATTTTCGTATAGTTCTAGATTCTCCAACTCCAAGTTGTTTTCCAAATTTTCAATCTTCTCGATGCAGTTGGAGATCAGCTGCAGGGTCTGCGTGATGTAAGGGAGGGCAACACATGTGCAGGTGGGGAGATCTATGCAGGACTGTACATCAAAATGGGAGCATGTCATCAAGTATGCCCCCTGTTCTCAGGAGGGGATATCTTCCCCGGGAGGTACACCCCCCCCCCCGCTCTCGTGATTGGGCACAAACCCACCTTCAAATTTTTGCATTTTTCGACATTCTCTATCTTCCTAATTCTTGCATACTGATGCGAAATGACGGTCTCCTTCTCATCAAAGGTGGTTATTTCTCCGAGGACATTGTAGGTGGTCATGGTTGAGGTGTGGTGGGGATTATATTCCGTTTTGTTTCCTCGTTCAGGTCAGTATACACGTCTGTACGCTGTTCTTTACTCTGCCGTTACGCTCTTGTTCGTGGTGTGAATGACGACAAATTTTGCAGCTTCAGGGTGTACACTTGACACTTTGACGGGGGCCCAACTCACGCTTGGCCGTCGTAGACTTGGCACTTCAGCAGGTCGCTACATCACTCCCCCTCATTTGCAGGAAAACACGTTTTAGCGTCCTCTCAAAAATGTTTCCCTCTTACAATGCGTACTTTGCAAAAAAAAAAAAAAAAAAAAAAAAAAA